TGCATTATGCAGTCGGCTATGCCCGACTGCTCTCACTGGCTATTACTATTATGATTTAGTTTCTATTCGCCTTTGTGGCAGCCTCGCCTGAAGTATATCAAGTACATAGTATATAGCCGATGGATATGTATGTGCGTGTGTGTGTGTGTGCCTCCTCTACAGGTCTCAGCATTCAATTGAGCCGCTGCCATCGCCGCTGTCGCCTGCAAATGAACAGAAGCAATAGCCGTATATCTAACTCAAGTATCTCAGTTCATAGTCTAATTAGTGCGCTTAGAATTTCAGTTAAATTTATCTGCTTGAGGAGCGCACATAGATACATACGTATATAGATCTGTGTTTGTATTTGGATGAGCCAGCGCCTGAAAGGCAATGTCCCGCAACAAGAATAATAGCAATAATAATAACAATAAATAATGAACGTTTGCCTTGCCTGCTGGGCTTGGGAATATTCTGGCCTTCAAATCGATTTACTTACGCATCAGCCATATAATATACATATATGTATTTGTGTATATGTATGCATGTTTTTTTTTATAAAAATTCCTGTTTAATATTTCATTTGCGAGAAAAATTTGTGTTGACAGCGCGACTTGGCAGCGATGTTAGCTTTGTTTATTTACAGTGCGTTTGCTATTGAACCCTCTGTTTGGATTACTATTTATTAACGAATATCTCATTAAATCGACTCAAGTTACTTCAGTGGCATGTATCGATAAGTAAACAACTGTATATGAATATTCATATGGGTATATTGCATATGTTAAGTTTGAAGTCCTTTTACTTTGACAGAGTAGTTGACGTAATAACACTCTATCATTGAGACTATATATTGTTTTATTAGATTATCTTCAGTCAATATATGATTCATATACTGGAGCATAAGCTAGACTATCTCTTAATTATCACAGAGTGTGAACAAACGTCATCGAGTTTTATCGATGAAGACCTACGCAAAAAGATCACGCTTTTGCCTAATTCTCATCATTATCATTATTAGCATGCCTATTGACAAGTAATATCTTTGAATTAAGGCTTATGAAACTGTGTTATACAGTGGCTAGAGTAAAATAACCTCTTTCAAGCTGGCTTTCAGCTGGTCAGAATCGATTTAATTACATATTTTGCCTTGGTGCAAGACAAAGCTTCTAGCCAGAACCATAAAAGAGCTAAACTCAACGCGAGGCCTTGGAGTACTCTAAGGTCCCATACGACTACAGTGCTGAACTTCTAAGCCTTAACCTAAAAGTTTCCATTTTCAATCAGTCCCAGCTAAGTCATGAGATGCTAATAGATGATAATTTAATTGACTTTTATACAAAACAAGCCACAATTAATTTTTTTTAGGAGTTTATAATTAAATATATTTTGATTCGCATTTGACTGATTTTTATTGTCAAATATGTTTTTGTTTCTGTGATAGAATAATATTTGATGCCAATGCAAGGTAGCTAAGTGAAAAATCAAAAAGAAAGAAATCGACTCAATTCAATATAAAAGTCTTCTCCACACTGGTCAAGATATTATCCATTATATTTACATATATTTATAGAGGCTCAATCTCAGTATATATAAAATGCAACAAAGAAGAGTGTACAATTTTTCATCTGACTTGATAAAAGAGACTTCCGAATCAATAAAACATTTCTCACAGAGTCTCCAAGCGATTCTCTAGAGAAACAAAAGCAATTTGTGTCAAACGACAATAATGAGGCATTCAGAGATAAGTGCAATGGCTATGGAAATTGCGCTTTACCCACGCTCTTATTGATTGAATAGAGTTTTATGAATGGATGTGCAGGCTACTTAAAGTACACTCAGAGAAATTGAACAAAATGAAGCTCGATAATGGGGGGAATCAAAAATTAAAATGCGCTAAATTAAAAGATTAGCTGTTGGCTTTATTTTAGTGCCCAATTGAGATTGGTTAATTTCAGTAAAATTAGTAATGGATATCTAGTTTTTCTCCCAGTGCATCATTCGAACTATAGTCGATGCCATTGATAGCCATTAATTGCCTAAAATAGTTTTATAGAAACGATTTTAGTCGTTGCATCTGTCTGGCTTATGCAACGGTTGTTTCTTTATAGCCTATGCCATGCATATGTATGTATATACATATATATATTTAGATATATACATATATCTTACTCATGTATGCATAGGTATTCTCATTCGCATTCACATCAGAGATCTCTGCTCGTTGCGCTTTATAAATGGCACACAAATCGACCATTTCCTGCTCTACGCCCACCAAGCGCCGGCGAAATTGTCGAATTGTCGCTCGACATTTTTTGTTCCCAGCCGAGCCGAAAAAGCATGAAATTAGTCAAAAGCGTGCGAAAGAGATGGCTGCTATAGATTACGTCAAGCTATACGCCAGCTCTGGCAGCATAACGGGTTTCGATATTTTTTATTTCCATTTGAATTTGTATTTTTGCAATGCCAATTGCGGAACAGTGCGTATGCGCAATTGCTAGTAGCGCCACCTTGTGGACGTGAGCAGAACTACGATACTCATTGTGCTTGCCGCAGCATTTCAACAATAGATGACGCTAGTTGGCCTATAGAATATAATATATGTAGTTGTTTTATATTTATAACTTTCAATTTTCAATTTATTGTTTAGTAAAATACGAAATGATAAAATTTTTTCAGATATTTTGTAGATAATGTTACTTTATGTCGAGAATAATATTTCACTGATGCACAGGGCGTATGATGACTCTTAGCGGCTGTAAGCTGTTTGCTAAGCTAACGCTACTCTGCCACAGATGGCGCTATTTCTAATGAAGTGGCGCTTTTGATGATCGATGCATTTGAAATGGGAAATCTGTGTATAATTGATACAAAATTTACTATACAAAATTTATAACAATAATTAAAGGACCTAAATGAACAAATATTGTTAATTCATTGTTAATAAAAATGTGTTACCCTATTTTAATTCACTGCTAATTGACATTTTTCTCTCTGCTACTCATTTCCCTTCGCCTGT